AAGGCAGTGAAACATTTCCTGGTATTTCGCCATCCTTAATGGATGTTACATTTGAGCACATCGTTGTAGACACTGTCAATACATCTCATGAAGATCTTCCTTCTTTCTTGCTATCCTTCTACTTTAACAATCATAATGTCCCTTTAATATCTCCTGATCACATGTCCAAATTCTTGCCATCCTTGCTTCTAGGGAGCACCCAAACAACTTCTTCCAAGACAGTGTAGTAAGTTCTTCTGGCAGTCCAAGATGCCGTCAGCATTCTGCACCAGCACCATAATTCCAACGCATCATTTCTTCTTTGGTCTTCCTCTTCAGTCATGGACTATCACATGTATAGGCAGCAATGAAAACACCATTTCAGGTGCAACTTAATCCTCAGAACATCCCTTCTCTTCAACACTTTCAAGAGGTTGTGTGCAGCACATTTTCCCACTGCAATGAGGCCTTTGATTTCTTGACTGCTGTTTCCATGAGCATTGGTTGTGGATCGATGAAAGACGAAATCCTTACAACTTCAATCTTTTCTCCATTTATCATGATGTCACCCTACTGGACAAGTTGTGAGGGTTTTCATTTTCTTTAAATTGAGTTGTAATCCTTATTGAAGGCTCCAGCCTGGACCTTCATCACCAAGTGTTTCAGGCCCTCCTCACTTTCAACAAGAACCAATGTCCTGAAGGAAGAAATCCAAGCTGCATTGAAGGCATTAGAAAGCATAGAAGGCATTAGACCCAGGGATACCAACAGAATGTTTCAACAAGCTGATGAAGCGCTGGCATACTGAATACGTCCGAAAACCAAACTGACTGCCATCAAGTCGATTCTGATTCATAGCAACCGTATAGGACAGGGATTGGCAAGCCTCATTTTTCTCCCAAGGCATAGCTGGTGGTTTCAAACTGCTCACCTTGTAGTTTGCTGCCCAACAAGTAACTTCTATGCCACTAGGGCTCCTGACTATATAAATAGCTGATGGAAATCTTAGGGTGACATTTTTAGAATTCTGTCTACTGTACTTGCTTTTTATCTCATTGCCCTCAAATCAAGCTGTGACATAATTAAACTCTGCCCACATGTTCCTATGGAAGCGTAGTTGGTAAAATAAACCTAACTGTCACACTTTGAGTAGCATTATCCAGTAACATTATCTTCACATTTAAAGGACAGCATATGCTTTTAATACCCTCTAAACTTCTTAATCTTATAGTTTGTAATTAATAATTATATTATCTGGTATTTTGCACTTTGAGTTCTGCATCTTTTGGTTTATCTTCTACATTACATTTCATTTTGGTTGATGTAAAATTTAATTAAAAACTGACATAGACATTTAATTTGAATAGCATTTGAACCATAGGTTAATAGTGTGTTCTAAAATAAAATTTCAGTATTTTTGCCATTGTATTAGAAATCTAGTGCTGCTATAGGAGAAATTCTGCAATTGCAGGGCTTTCGCAAACAGAACTTACTCTCCCCGAGTTTAGGAGGCTGCATGTCTGAATTCAGGACACAGGCTACAGCAGAAAGTTTTCTGTCAGCTCCGGAGGAAGGTCCTTATCTCCAGTCAACATCTGTGGGCCTGGTTCTCTTTGGAGATCTCCATGGGTCTTAGATCAATCTTCCTGTGGGCTGGAGAGGTTCTCAGTACAGGGACCCTAGGTCCAATGGTAGCCAGGTCTTTCCTCCGCTGGTTTCTTTCTACTTTTATTTCTTGCAAGTCAAAAAGCAATGCTGGAAACATGCCAGGAAAGTTCACCTTACATCAGAACGGGACTCTATCCTGCGTATGAAGGTTGCATTCCACTCTAATATCTTTACAACAGTTTGACTGATCACACCCAGGGGATGATTACATAACTGCCAGATTACCTCATGATATAACTGACAAACAAAAGAGGATTGTGGCCCAGCTAAATTGATATATATTCAATCCGTGACAATCCCCTACATCAGGGGTCCTCAAACTATGGCCCGCGCTCCACATGCGGCCTGCTGACGACATTTATCTGGCCCGCCGAGTGTTTTTGCCCCGTTTCTTTTTTTACTTCAAAATAAGATATGTGCAGTGTGCATAGGAATTTGTTCATAGTTTTTTTTTTAACTATAGTCCAGCCCTCCAACAGGTCTGAGGGACAGTGAACTGGCCCCCTGTTTAAAAAGTTTGAGGACCCCTGCCCTACATTGTTACTAGAACATTAGTCCTATAACTCATGTAGTTAGGGATTTCAAAGGAGATTGTACCCTGCCCAACTAGTGCATGCCAAAATATGAATGTTTCCTGGACATTTCCTCTATACAGTGGTCCACTCACACATTCTCTGAGAACATCATCCTGTAGGGTCCTACAGATGTAGGAGTTTCTCTCTAATTCCTAACCCGGTTGGGCCTGTGTCCTGTCCCTGGGCTCTTTGTTGTTGCGGTGGTTGTTAGGTGCCACTGAGTTGGTCCCAGCCCCTAGCAACCCGATGCACAACAGAATGCAACACTGCTCGGTCCTGGCCGGCCCTACCATTGTTCCTATCCTTGAGCCCATTGCTGCAGCCACTGTGCCAGTCCATCTCCTGCAGGGCCTTCCTCCTTTCTGCTGCCCCTCTGCTTTACCAAACGTGATGGCTCCTCGGGCACCTCTATTAGTGATAATTTCAAGATACTTAGGGATTATTGGTTGCTATTCTCAGTCCTTGAAATGTTAAATTCTTGTTTGGGTTTGATCTTGTCATTTGATTTCCATTATTTTTTCCCCACCCAGTGATGTGTGTCACATGATATTTGTGATCGCTGTGCTTCAAGTAGATTTTTTCTCTCTAAAACAGTGGTTCTCAACCTGTGGGTCGTGATCCCTTTGGGGGTCCAATGACCCTTTCACAGGGGCTGCCTAAGACCTTCAGAAAACATAAATATTTTACAATATATAATTACATATTGTTTTGTGATTAATCACTTTGCTTTACTTATGTTCAATTTGTAACAATGAAAATACATCCTGCATATCAGATATTTACATGATGATTCATAGCAGCAGCAAAATGACAGTGATGAAGTAGCAACGAAAATAATTTTATGGTTGCGGGGTCACCGCACATGAGGAACCATATGAAAGGGTCACAGCATTAGGAAGGTGGAGAACCACTGCTCTAAAGGATTCATACTAGAAGTCCCTGGGAGATGCAAATGGTTAAGTGCTTGACTAGCAAGCAGCTGGAAGATTGGTGCTTCAGACCCATTCCGTGACACCTCACGTGGCAGAGCTGACAATCTTCTTCACAAAGGTCACAGCCTTGCACACCCCATGGAGCAGTTGCAATGTCCGCCCAGGGGGTCACCATAAATTGGACTCAACTGACAGCAGCTAACAACAAACCAGATTATTTATATGACTAGATGGTAAGAAACGAAAACCTCTCTCTTTTTTAAACCATGCGTCTTATCTTTCTAGGAAAACATGATTTCCCCATTTGGAAGAAGCTTTATGTTTTGCTGCATTGATAGACTGCATTCATTTCTTTACTTCTGGATTCGTCCTCTGGTCTTGCCTCCCAGTGGGAGGCTGTGCTGTTGATATTTCCACTCCTGGAGTTTGCTTAGCAAATTCCTACCAAACTAATGAAGTGCTTCATTTCGAAGAGCCTGGCTGAAAGCTTTGCTGGAGAAACAACTTCAACCATTTTCCTGCTTGGATCCTGCCAGAACAACTAAACTGACCCAGTTTGCTTGCCTCTATGCCTTTACCTTTCCTTCTACCAGAAATAAAACCATTTAATTTGGCAAAATCCATACAGCAAGCAACATTTATAAGTAGTTTAATTAAGTGAATCAGATTTTGAAATAATAGAGTATGACAATGTTTTATCCAATATTCACGTCAGATATATAATAATTTACCTAATCATAATGATCAACGACATGCAACGAACTATTGTGTATGTGTCAAGACCCAATTAATGTACTAGGGGAGTGTTTCATCCATTGTGGCTAATAAGGTAAATTAGTAATATTGATTGAATGTGGATTTCCCAAACCCTCCCCCGCTCCCACCAGACTGAAAGGAGAAACAAAGCCTGGATGCAAGCTGCTGCGCCTGGGAGAACAGTGGAGAGGGGGGGGGAAGCCTGGCTTCTAGCGATGGTGACATTAAGAGGTCATTGGGGTGAGCGAAGGATGCCCACATGGCAGAAGAGTCCTTGAGCACTTGCCTGAACAGACAGGAAATAGGCATTTAGTGAAATTGCTACTGTTAGCGAGACAAGCTCCAATCCTAAATAAGATTCTGCAATTTGAAGTGACAACAGCTCCTTGTTAACCTTTCAGGGATGATCATGATAATAACAAAAACACTACCTACCACAGAGTGGGCGGACAAAGATTTCGCTGAGCATCTGTTGAGGGATGCCTTTTGGAAACTTTCAAAGACAGTATGCAATTCTCAAACTGAAAGAGTTTGAGAACTTTGCTGTCAATGTGAAATGTGACCTGGATGTGCTAAGTCGTTTTTGATATATTGGCCCAACATAAAGATGGTGCAGGAGAACTATGTGGTCACTTAAACAAATTGGGACTGAGTATTATTTCCCCGGTATTTAGTGGCAGCTATTGGGAAGAACTCATTGAAATTATTCAAGTAAAATATTTGCATGTTGTTTTCTTCAGAGCAAAATTTACTCATTACAATTTGAAAAGCTATTTCATTTTTGTCTTAATGTATCCATCATATCATGTCAGCAGTGATAAATTATATAACTATAAAAAAGCAAAAATGTAATAAATACTACAAGTCAAAATAAACATATAATACAATGAAAGAAAGAGTAAATATAATGAAAATTTACACGAAACAACAATATTATATTTAAGGTTAAATTGGACAAGTGTGTTTTGAACATTATTAAATTTCCACTGATTACAAACATAGACATATGGTGACTGGACAATTCTTCAGATATAACTTCATTAAAAGAAATGTCTTCATTAAAAGAAAACATGCATTTTAATTTCAAAAATAATGTTACAAGTTATTTTATTTGCCCCAAAGGTCTAATATCTGTAAAAAGGTGCCAATAAAGATTAAAATGAGCAAAGTATTTTTTAAACCTTGTCTTCCATTTTATGGGAATTTCTGTGTTCTAGTCTCTCAAACTTTTCTTACTTGCATACGTTGTTTTGTTCTCAATTCCTATTTTTCCTCTAACTTAATATAAAATACCAATTTAAAATCCAAACCAATTGTCATGGAAACAATTCTGAGTCATAGTAACCCAGTACAAGGTTTCCAAAATCTGTAAGTAAGTAGCCTCATCTTTCTCCCACAGAGTGGCTGGTGGCTTTGAACTGCTCATCTTGTGGTTAACAGTCCAATGGTTACCCAAGAGTACTGCAGACCTTACTTTATTCTTTATTTTGTTCCTGAACTTCCATTTCAATTTTTATATAACAGTTTAATGACTTTTTCTGGCTCTAAATATGCAATGATAATTCATTTACATTTTCTGTATCTCCTTTTGTAACATATATGAATTTCAAAAATAAGACATGTTAGCAAAGTTATTACACATAAACAGAAATGTGTTAATAGTTCAACAGAGTTTAGTTTTCCTTTTTATCTGTACTGTGTCAATAATCCAAATCATATCAAACCTTTACAAAATGCATTTCTTAGCACACTAAACTCATGAAGGTATGAATTATATTAAATTAATCCAGCCATATGGTCAATGAGAAATGAATTCTAATCTATGAGTTTTCTGTTGTTTTGCGGTTAGAACTCAGCTATCCTATTAGAACTACTACTTCCATTTTTAATTTTATATTATTTATATACTAAGAATGGGGTATTTTAAAATTAGGGTATTCAGAGTTAATTTACACTAATGGTTTTATCTGCACCACCAGATGACTGACCAAGGCATTAGTTTGTGTTGTTGTTGTTTTGTTTAGTTTTTCCAGAAAACTCCCTTTGAGAAATGACAGAAAATATTTCCCCAGATACTAATTAATTTAAGTATTTCAACTCTTCCATCTAGTTTCCTAGGGAGTTTCTGAAATAAGATAAAGTTTGAAATGTTCAGCTGAACCTTTAGGATGAATCAAATGTTTTAATCAATTCAAAGTTCAAATTGTTAATACAGCAAGATGTATATGGTCCACAAGCAAAATCTCAATCCCAAAATTCTTGAGGAAAACACGTAGAATGTGATTAGGTTGTATCTCAAAGCAGATATGGACAATTGAGTTTTGATTGTGGGTCTCTCTGGACCATCAAAGCTATACCAGGTATGATTTGAATGTCTTAGTCATCCAGAGCCAAATTGTGCAGTGAATTTGCAATGGCTCCATCACTCACCAGAGGATCAAATGATATCGCCGGTCATGGCAGGGTCGCATTGTTCACCACAGGAGCCCAAGCAGGATAAGTGTGGAGGTCAAACAGGGGTACAATCCAGGTGAACATGCCAAGCATCACCACAGCAACACCCACAATGTTCACACCAAGTCCAGCCTTAACCTTAATCCAGAAAAAGCAAAGAATTCAGTTTCTCAGGAAGAAAATCTACAGCATAACTGGAATACAGCTGTGGAAGGCACATGCTCGATTTACACCATCTAATAATTAGAAAATATTGCTCTTATTCCATAAAAAGGGGGTCTTTTTCTTTTCTTTTGCTTTTAGTTTTTCTTTTCTTTTTAAATCATTTTATTGGTGGCTCATACAGCTCTTATCACAATCCATACATCCAACCATTGTGTCAAGCAC